AGCCCTCAATATGATAAATAACAGATGAGCAATTTGTGTCAGCATTGTGTAACTCCGAGGGGGAAAGGAATTGGGTTCATTTCTTATTGAACGGACGATGGGTCACACACTCATGGCGAAGCGGATCATGCAGTGGCAGGCGACAAAATAGTCAGCAGACAACTCGAATTGAACTCTGCAGTAGAAGCTGGACAAGTGGCTAAACATGCAGTTGAAAGCGACTTTGATAATTTACATCTATCTCTATATGCATATATCATTCTTACATAATATCACATTATGTACTCTATATAGCAGGTCTATGTGAGGCTCTTCTCCCTGTGCGAGTGTAATAAAAAACTCATCAATCACTTGGTGCTCCAAATGCTTGTCGCCTGCGCAGCACTCATTCCCTAGTCGGTCCCCAGTTGCAGCTCCTGGCAACACTTTGAAAATACATTGACTATGAGAATGTCATGAATATTAAATTACGATGATTGCCTTTGGCAGTGTATCCTGGTTCCGCTCCTCGTTGTCGCCTCAGTCACCCTTATTGACCACGTACTCTTTGCTATTCCTTCTGCTTCTGCTTCTGCTTTTGCTCTTGCTCTTGCTCTTGCTTTGCTATACTATGGATTCACAGAGCAGAGTTTATCACAAATTGATCTTAATGAAATGCACTTTAATTAAGTTAAAAATACACAAATTTATAAGTGCACGTCTGGACATCGGAAGCTTTTACAAGCATTTTGATAAATGGCAGAAAATGAAGGAAATCAAGAAAAGTTTGTTAAAGAAAATATTTTTTATTATTAGTAGAAAACTGCTTATATATGTATATAACGAATATGTATGTATGTATTTATCGAAATATTACAATTTCAATTAGTACAATAATACATAATTAATTACAGTCACAGCTTGTTTTGTTTTGTTTTTTTTTTTTTTTTTATTAGTAAATTTAATAGTGTTACTTATTTCTCTTTTTTTTTCAACTTTTTCTTTCTATGAGCGAGCGTCTCTCAATGCTTCCCTCCTACAATCGTAAAAAGCAAATGAATTCGGAATGCTTGGAGGGTTTTTTTCTCCTCTTCCTTGCAACCTATTTTGTTTGTTTTTTGGTGGGAAGAGTAAGTAAAGTGTTATTTGGTTAAAGTATTGTCTGATGACACAGCACTATTTTCATGAATACAGCTTTATTTGCGACATACATATACATATAGTGTAAACATATCGAATATTATTTGCTTTACAGATATACCATCTATCTTCTATTAATTTGACCTGAATTAGCAGTCACTGATTATCTGTACCAATAGAGTTTGCAAAGGAAAAGAACACAACAATGAAAAAAGAATCAAATTTATAATATATTTTGAATTTCCAGCTGTTTTTCCTGCAGTACTAAGAATTAGTTACAGCCCGAGATTGCGCGAGGAGCGTTCTCACATGACTTTAGTTGAATTCTTTCGGGAGACTATATTAAAAATGTTTGTAGAATAATAGGGAATCCTTAGCATTCAGCCCTTCATATGTTTCTTTTGTAATTAAGAGCGGCAGGTCGCCGTTCGAATAAAAATACATTATTTACTCTAATACATATAGGTAGCACGACGGCCAAACTCTATTAAACTAGCAAACAATGAACTTAAACTTGTGTTTCAAAATTTGAAGTCTTTTATTTGATTCATTTGACAGATTTCGATTTTGAATGCATCTATATTTTTTAAGATGCTCTCTAATTACTATCGGCTTCCTACATTGTATTTAACGATACTATATTAATTTTACATATTGATTTTCTATTTCAGTAATTCGTAAGTTTATAGTGAATGGAATGTTGGTGAATACAGTATGCATTATTCGCACATTTATTCACAATCGATAACCCTTGCTCGTCACATGGATTACAGCCAATGCTGCAATCAAGAATCAAAATGTTGCCAACATTCGAGAATGTATATACGCAAACTATACCTATTCAACGAGCTGTTTCTTCAAAGAGAGCAATACTATTAAAGCCTACGATATAATATCGTCAATCCCCATCAGCCCTCGGCAATCACGACAGCAAAACAAAGCGCAAGTCAATGGCTGCTTTGTGGCTAAGGGTGTGTCCTTTATTCAGTTCTAGGCAAAAGCCTAGTCCTTTGCAGCATGAGCTTTGCATATACATAGTACACACACACACACACACACACATACATACATAAACATTTTGAAAACAAACTTTTCTTGTGGCTTGTTTGGCTCATAAGCTTTTGAAAGGCAGGCTGAGAGGCAACTGTAATTGAATTTTTCATTGTTTACAAACAAATTATTGTTGGCTGACAAAGCAGTTGGGCTAACAATATGTTGATCCCATGGCCTATTCCATTCACGTGTAAATGGCTGCTCTACATCTTGCCAAAATGAGAGATTGAAGGACATAAGCAGAGGACAATTAAAAATGCTTTTGTTGTAATTCTCTCAACTTGAGCAGTTGCATAATTAATTGAATAATAAGAGCTTCGATTGTCTGTGGATATTTTATTGAATTGTCATTTCGTCCAGCCCTGAGCAACTGTTATGTGCAATGCGAACGGGTTTAATATACTTACCCATATATTGTATTAAAACTTCGTAAATGGATTTTTAAAGGTCTTGAATTTACGGCCTACGCAGCCTGCAAAATTTCCAAATTAAATTGCGGCCAGCAGGCGACACAGCCAGCCCTACACGCCCCGAAGCCAGATCGAGCTGAATTTTTCATAAATGTCACGGCAGATGTAATGCGGCCCGCAGTAGGCGCAGAAGCAGCTGCCAGCTGAAAAGCAATTTAAATACCAGGCGCTGCATTGTTATCTGGCCGACAGTTTACGCTTTTACGTTTGCCGAGTCCCGGCAAAACAATGGAATTTAAGTCCATTGCAATCACTGTGCAAATGTAGATATTCTGGAGATGCTTTAAAGCACATTGTGTTGTATTTTTAATTTGCGATCAAAACATTTCAGGTCTTTTCATCTGGCGTAAATAAAGCATTCGAGAATGTTTGAAAATCGCTTTTGCCTGAATGCCAAATAAATATTTCGACAAGTCTGCACGACGTGGGCTCATTGTGGCTGATATAAATATGTATGTATACTGACTGGGCCAAATTCGGTCACCCTTTCATCTCCATCGGCTCTCGCCGAGCAGTCAAGCACATTCAGACAGCAATATTGAATTCAGCACACACACACGCACACCCACACACATAAACACATTGAAGCGAACAAACAGGAACATCATAACCTGGGTAAAGCCTAAGACAACCCCCAATGAGCCCTCAGCAGCAGGCGAGCACCTGATCCCTTCAGCCATACACGCACACCCACACACACACACATGGTTACATAAATGTCATTGCTGTTATTTATGATAATTCAAAGTAATATCCTGCAGCAATTTCATCAACAAAAGCTAAGAGGCCAAGACCGACTGCAAGTAGGTGTGTGAAAGCAAATATCCTTTTTGGCTAACAGGCACATGCCTGGGGGGACGCGCTGGAAAATGGCCTAAACGTGTCAAACGTGCAAATGCCTGTGTGAAAATTGCAAATTTGTTTCAATAATTGGTTGTGGCAGGTACGCTCGCCTTAACCCAACTTGCTTATTCGGCCATAAAGCGTACAAACATTTGGCCAAGTGCGCGGCTTAAGTGATTGGCCATCATAAATAGCATTGCATTGCATCGTATCAACTGAATTTGCCTCAAGTGAGCTCTATAAAATTCAAAGAATTTTTTAAATTAACTCCTAAGATATTGGCTATGAAAAAGGGTTTTATCATATTATCTTAGTTAATCAATTGTGTTGGACTTGCGATTAGAGTTGTTAGACAATCGATCACACCATCATTAATATTAGTAACCATAGATAGATGTCAAGTCTATCTGTGGAATGGTTACTAAATATGCAAAGAACACTTCCGTCACTTGTAATACTTAGTCACAATTCTTTTGTGACGTCACAGTTTCACAATTCAGTAATGTTTTGTTTAGGCTCTGTTATCCGTATGACAAGAATTAAAGCAAAGATCAAAAGTCGTTAAAAAAAACTTTGCTTAAAGAACTCTAACAATAGGCACTATCAAAATAGGGAACCCTTTATTTTATGCGAATAACGGAATGAATTTTCAAGTCAAGTAATGCTTCTTTATGCCAATCTAGGCCAACATTTAAGCACAATACTCGTTGAGGATATAGTAATGAAGCCATTGTTCCCATATGCTGCCATGTCGGAAAGATCCGGTGGCATGAAATAAAACGTATTAGTTACAATAATCTGCTAGAACATAGGTTAGTAGAAACTAACAAAGCTGTACCTTATCTTTGGTTATTATATGTATTATCAATGTATTGAATGAAAGTGCTAGCTATAATGATGTGGATCGTTTTTTTTTTTATTAAAATTTAAGTTTAAGATAATAAAAGTAAAGGTAATCAACACGAACATAAAAAATAGAAAATGGCTTAGAACAAGAAAGTAAATCAAACCATTCGATTTATCAATTCTGCAGATTCACGGCTTCACGTTTGTATGTAAATCAGTTCCTCATGATTAAGATACAAACTAAAACGAGCGCGTAACTATCGATAGTATCGATGTTCATAACCGCCTCTGAGAGAAACCATCTAGTGAAACCAGCTCTATATGCTATATTAGCAAAAGAAGTCTAACGGAACTGCATTTAGATAACCTAAGTACAAGAGATGATTAATGATTAAAGCGGCGCAGCTCTAGTTAATTGTGTAAGACATGATATTGTGAATCTTATAATAGATTTATGGAACATTTTGTCTCCCATTCCAATAAATAAACTATAAAATATACATATATATATTCAGAATATACATATATGTATATGTAGATAAAATAAGGTAAATATTAATTATTTTTCTTTAATGTTTTTATCTTTACACACATCTGTACCTATACACCTATGCTAGAAATGTTCACCTGTGAAACTTCGCAAAAGCTATCCACGGAAAAACAAAACAGTTGTTATCATATCTATATTCATCTGATTTACGTACAATGTCGGGATTATCTTCTTGACCTGTCAAGTACATGTGAGTATGATATAGAACAATCTTAATTGTCAGTACAAAATTATAAGAATTGTTGAATTCAGCGGATTTTCGAAGTTTCCCGTTGGGATAGTAAAAGCTCTACATTAACAGGTCGATACACAATTACCAACAGATATACGGCATGGATATCACTTGATTTCTGGACAAGCTAGTTGGTACAGGAACTGCACCAACGTTCGGGTTGGCCGTCCGGTCATTTTTCGTTTAGCCAGATATGGAATGATTCCATATGTGCTAAGCATGCCGGATCCGCGAGTATCGATATGGGCCCAGTCGGCGCAGGGAACCATTTCATGGAGTATAGCCGCCGCTAAGCAAGAGCTCGCTAGACCACGCCCATCGTTGCTCAGATCATATCCGAGTTCGTCCGTAACCTGTTTTCTGTAGTAATTCCATAGTGGAAGGCGCCACATGCGATCACCGGTGAGAGAGCCAGCCTTTTGGAATTGCTTCCAGATGTAATGAGAATTGGAAAAGATCGCGTTTGCCCCGCCACCGAGTGCCTGCTGGGCACCCCTGGCAATGGTGCCCACGTCCACCACCAGACGCGGCTTGTAGCTGGTTTGGCCGTAAATCAAAGGATCAGCCATTACGACGACGGCTGCCTTGCTCAGATCTCGAATGGCCATTGCCTTCGCATTCAGCAAGGTGCAAACGTCGCCTGGCTTTGTGGACATGCCCGATGGCATGTTCTCACACAGCGGCACAATTACAACCACATTGATGGGCAGCGACAATGCCGCAACGCAGCGCATCATGGCCACACAGGCCGCCGCGCCGGACATCTCCGCCCTATATTCGTCCATGCCCTCGCACTCACGCAAATTGATGCCGCCCGAGTTGAATGTGATGCCCTTGGCGATGAAGAGCACGGGCTTGTCGTCCGGCGAGGTGCCGCAGTAGCTAATCTCCATGAGTACTGGGGGCTCGCATGAGCCCTTGGCTATCATCAGAAAAGAATGCATGCGCTGTTGCTCGATCCAGTCCATGGTGCGTATCTCCACAGTGATGCCGCATGGACACAGTGCGTCCACTGCGGCCTGGGCGAACAGCGTAGGCGTCATACAGTTGGCAGCCGCATCGCTCAAGCGACGGGCAAGATTCTGCGATTCCGCCTTAAAAATGCCACGCACCCAGCCATCCTGATCGTGTGAGTCATACAATTCCAGCTTGGGTTTGACCGGATGATTCTTTTTACTTAGCATATCAGTAAACTGCCAGACACCCAGCATTGCACCCTCGGCCGCCTGCTCCGCATACTCCATGCTCTCGACGGCGATATCGGTGAGACGAAGCTTTTGCAGCGACTGGGCACCGATGCCGGCCGCAATGCGTACATTTTCCATACCCTCGTCCAACATTTCCAGCTCGTTAAAGCCGACGCCCTGCAGGCCTAATCCAACGACAGCAATACTGTTAAAGTCGGGATCAATGTTGTTGAACACTTTTCCGCGACCCAATTGTCCGTTGATTTTGGTTTCTCTAATTAAGTGCGCAAGCTTTCCCCCGGTGCGGTCGTTCACGATCTCGGCGCTTTGCGTCAACTTAGCATCTTTGTCGCCCTCCTCTTGGAATATACCGAGAATGAGACCCTTTCCTCTTGTCTCCTTGGCACAAGAGAAGCGAACGCTCTCGAATAACGGGGAGCCGCGCAGTAAATTGGACTTAACCAAAATTCGACGCACACTCTGCATATTGAAAATTAAATTAATTCCACAAATAATTTACGACTATAGGTCAAAAAATAAATATGTGCTTATAGAAACACTAAAATCGTGAAAAATAAACGAGAAAAGCTTAGAAAAACACTTATAATTTAGAATAAATAATTTTTTTTGTATTTTTTTTTTTTTTTTTTTTCAAAATTCCACTGAACAAAACATTAAGAAGCAAGCACTGATTAGGTTGAAATAACAAAAAAGACTCAACTGGAAATCGAGCTGTGACAGCTAAGCTATTGGACAACTATGAAAGCGCTTGCTGGGGTCGACAACGAAATATACTCATTCTCATTTCAGCTTCAGTTGAATGTAAAATAATTAAAATATTGCACGAGTCTGCAACGCGATTCTACAACATAAACATACTCTTTGCTCACTATGCACTTGGGTTGTAATTTAATTAAATTACAAGTAAGATGAACCTTTTCCTAAACATGATATATAATCTTCTCTGGTACTACTCCGTAGTAGCACTACATCTAACGGTATATTTATTTATGGTCCATAGCCTAGATTTAAAACTCAATTGTAGAAGCAGACATCTATGTTAGCTATACTAGCTGGATTAAAGCAATGGTATAATCTTTTCAAGAACTTATGTTATACCCTGAACCCATTGAAAATGGGAAATCAGGGCAAAATGTTCTGTTTTTCGTTTTTTTTCGATTTTTATTTGAACTCCAGAATATTACAAATATTGGGATACAACATCAATGTACAATATAATATAATGCGAATACAAAAATAAGAAGATTTTATTTTTTTGCCATAATAAGCCTTTATGGTAATAATAACTCTTATTGCGATGAGTCTGAGTAAGATCCAGCCGTTAGCTAACCAACCTAAATCAAAGGCAAAGACCGAAATTTATTTTTATTATAATATTTATCATAATTTTTGTGTTACCAGAATAACAGTCCAATTAAATTTTTGTTTACATTATTTCATGCATTGCAATGCATTGATTTAAAGAGCTTTAATTTTGAGTTAAAGTTTTCATATCATATTTATGAAAGCAACAAAACTTGTATATGCACAATCTTAAAAGTAAAAAGTAAATAAAATAATATTGGAGGTTAAATTCAATTTTTTTAGAGTCTTTATTGCGCCAATATCAACCAATCTTTATAGCTTGGACATAATATTTCATTGAGCATTACGAGTAGGATCATGATTTCAAATATGTAGTAGACACATAAACAGCAAATTTGATAGCCCATGAATGTTTTGACGACCCATTTTTATATTGTATAGCATAAAAAAAGATTATTTCATTTTATTTCATTCTGATACTAGATCACGCATTTTTTAGCTGGTCATTTAATGGTGATTCTGTAAGTTATGAGTAGTAACATGCAGCCAACAAGGATTGTGGTTTGAGGTAAAATATATTTGATATTTATTTACACAGTTAAACGTTAACTAACCGTAACTGTAACGACTCTACTGGACGTTAATCAAACACAGTTCGGTAGTTTAATTATGCAACTGCCTCGATAAATAACACTGCAATTAAGTGGACCACATTGATGGTAATGCTAATTGGAACTATCGCATACTGACCTCGTCTATGAACAGGTTTATGGAAAGCAAACAATCAATTAAGTGATGTAACTCTGCAATTAATTAATGACTATCTACATAATCTTGAATTTATAGTTAATAATATATTAATTAAGCTATGGATTATCTGACTACAAATAGCATATGAATTAAGTTAAAAAGTGCCTCAAACAAAAAACAATTACATACCTCAACGTGACAGACTTTTCTATGTGAGCTGAAATAAAAATGTAAAAAAAAAAACTCTAATGTCGAAATAAATTCCCTATTTAAATATATGAACTATAGCTGTATTTGGATAGGAATATCACATTCACACCAATATAAAAATTACTATAATTATTGTCCGGATTTTATGGTCAACTGACTGCAGAAGAGTAAAAAAAAAAATAATAAATTTGTAATAGGAGAGAACATGAAGCCCACACCCAAACCAAGGAACGTCTGTGTTCTGAATATAACACATAATTAACAAAAACTAAATGCTTATTAATAGCATTTGCAAGCTCTATATATTTTTGTTTATTTATTATCTTATTTGTTAATTAATTATACTATTTATTTATTCTTTTTTATTCTTTATATATATTTATTATTTAATTTATTTCTACTTAAAATACATAATGCTATTTATAAATATATGTATAAATGTTAATCAGTCTTTCATAAAATTAATTATTTGTTTATATTTCTTTTTATTTTTTTATTATTTCTATTTATTTTTATTATTTAAATATATTTATCACTTTATTTATTTTATTTATTTTTAAAATATATAATTTTTTATTTAATTTGAAACGTTTTACTGCCGGTAACTAAACTTTTCTTTTATAAAAATAAATATTTATTTATTTAAATAATTTATTTATTTGTTTATTTATAATATATTTTATTTATTTATTTTTTAGATATATTTATTGTTTTACTCATTTATTTAAAAAATATATTAATTTATTTCATTTGAAACATTTTCATATCTTTATATGAATTCACATTAATTTGTTTAGTTGTTCATTGCTCCGCTACCCAAAATCAATATTCTCCTTGCAAGTTTGGGAATAATGCACAAAACTTGTAGTCATCTCCATTGGATTAACCCAAATATCTTGTATATTGGCTAACGAAAAGTATTTCTCTCTGAAAATTCTTTGGACAGTAATTGCGCCCAACAAAATGAAACTTTGAAGCCAAAAGCTAATACGATTACAATCAACCGCATGGCTTACTTAAGATTATATCACTTTGCGAAACGTTCTATTAGCAGGCAAACGGAAAGGGGATTTAAGAATGCATTTGAAAATCACAGCAGACTTGGCAAAGCTTTTGCCTCGACTGCAGGCTGCAGCCCAGTCTGGATGTGGCACGGCGTGCACTGCATCGTTGAATGTGATTTGTTCAAGCGCACATTCAATTTCCATTGGGTTGCTACAAATGAATTTTTCATTTAAATATATATACTATCTTAGTGGTTTAACCGCAGCTTAATGCTCCAAATGCCAAGCCATTCATATGATTATGGCCAGACGTGTAGCAAAGTGGAAGTGTTTTCCCCTCCGCCTCCCCAACTAAGTGCTGACTGGCCCCAGCACGTTGCGTATCCAAGTTGTGGCAACTTAACACAGTTTTTCTGTTTTTTTTTTTTTTTTTTTTTATGTTGTTGTTTGGGGCGTAACACTTGAGTCAGACAACTTTCCGGCTTTGGCGAGGTGCTGGAAATCTGCAGAATGCCTGCATGCTCGACATTTGCCGGAACCCTGCCATAAAACGCTCATCCATGTGCGTGTGTGAGTGTGTGAGTATGTTGACAGCATTTGTTGGCAATAATTTCATTACCGCGCATTTAAAGTTTTACCAACACTCATGCACTTCTAACAAATGAGACAGCAGGATATACACATTCGTTTCGACAGTCGCCCCGCCCACCCGCATAGCAAAACATGCCCCTGTGCATATAGCCACACAGTCATGGCACTGTGCTCGTTATAAATGGAAAACTTTTGCTACTTGCTCAAGTGGTTTTTGTCTTTTTTATTTGCTTTTCTCTATTTCCTTTTGTTTTGAGTTCAGCTGCTTCTTCTGCCACTGCTGCTTGTGTTGCTGCTGCTGTTTTTATTCGCTTTTGATTTTGAAACTTTTACTTGTTTATTTTACTTTTTAATGAGAGCAGACTAAGAGATCGCATGTCCATGAACAGGGACAATCCCACTGTGGAGGAGCTGTGCGGCGTTCCAGTTGTATGCTTGTCGATTAGCCATATTTGAAACGGAACATCAAGTTCGAAAACTTTTGCAATGTGTACGTCGAATCCAGTTATACGCTTGACACAACTTTTCGGGGCATCAAGTTTTACTGCACAATTTGTCAAGCCGTGTTTTAAAGTGTGTGCAACAGTTGCGCCGAGAATTGCCTGCTGTCAGTTTGCATCTAAACATGTCCAGCCCGATGGACTGACTGGGATATCTCAAATCTCTGCAAAAAAAAATTGATTTGCGCATGTTTTTTGTGTCTCCGCTTTTCAGTCAGTCACCATCGCCTTTTCAAGTGGCCCGAATAACACAGAGGCGAGTGTTTTTAATTTGAACTTTTTGTGGCGCGTTCGCATATCAATGACTGGACGAGGCATTCAAGCGTAAGTGGCAAACAGCCGCTGCCACAGACTGCCAGCACCGCAACCACAGACCGAACACCACATAGAAATTCGGCTATGGAGCGTATTTCTGGCAGCTGAACAACTTCTATTAGAAACTTGGCAAACAGTTACACAATTTATTTTCCTGCATTGCAGTGATTTATAAATTTTGATTAAATTCTTTGGCCATGGTTTTGGCAAATGAAGTGAACCTGTTTAATGGCTATATCATTGGACATCTGGCATATATATAATTTTTTTTTATTTGCTTTTAATATTTGCTGCCAATTGGATGCAGTTAAAATATGCAATTGGGCCTTTTGTGAATTAAATATGAAAAGTTGACGATATTGATTATATTATATTTTAAAATAAATAGGGAAACAAAAATTGAATAAATTTCACAGAAAATTATTTTGTTTGTGTCTCTGTAAAATTTTTGTGAACCCAAATAATAATTGAATAAAAATATGATATTTATATATATTTTTCATATATACATATACATATATATGCGGATATAAGTACCGAAAGTAAACAATTTTGTGACCACGGCGTATTTTGCCTGGACTGCAAAAGTTTTCAACTTCTTTTATGCTCTGACTCTTAGATAAATAGTTTGAGACTTATCATGACATCTATTCGAACGGGACAGTAGACGAAGGATGAGTACGAGTATGAGCTGTAAAAACGTTTTAAAGTTGAAGGAAATATGAATGCTATGACCCACATGCTCCAACATGTCATAAATTCTTTTACTCATAAGGAACTGAATTTACTTGTACTCAAAAGTGAATTTAAATATGTTAAATGTTACAGAACTAATGGTATTTTTCTTCAATATTGACGGTAATCGCCTGTTGCCTTCAAATATAAATATCATATAAATCACTTGACTCTCATGACAAAATTACACAGCTTGCGAAGTCATGGCAATAGACATATTAATTGCCTAAGAATTCAAAATAAAAGATGCTGTGGCTCAGAGTGCGGCATATGTCTCCTTAGCCCA